GATGAGTCCTTTCTGTCTAAATGGTTGGAATAAACAGCAAAAAATGACCAGGGTCCATTTACAACAAATACTTAAAGTTAAGACAACCTTTAGTTATAATTGTAAGGGTATTATCACTAAGGTTTTTCTTAAATTAAGGGGTTTGTTGCAACCAGCTGCAGACTTTGTGGTGACAGACCAAATAAAAAAAAGTTACTATTAAATGACTGTTGCATTGAAGTCAATCCTGACAACAGTTCTCATTAACTTCAGTCTGACAAGTTCTCATTGTTCAGTCACAAACAAGCATGCACAATTATTATATTTATCCACAGAAGGAACTGGCAAGTTCTTTAAGAAAATAGGGATGCATCCACAAAAAAAAATAAAAATAAAAAAACAGCCGATTTTTGTTTTATGCCCAAATATGCTTATATAATTATCAAAATTGTGAATAAATACAGTACAATGTTATTGTTTTTGAGGAAAAAAAATCCAATCAAACTAATATTAATAATTATTTATTATTAACATTATAAACGTATAACACAAAATAAGTTAATACTTAAAAAAATATACAAACAAAAGCATAAAGATATAATAAAATAAGCCCTGCTATTATGTGCTTTGAATATTTAGGGGGACAAAAAAATAAAACAATATCTGTTGAAGCATATGGTCATGCAGACAAAAAGAAAATAACAAATTTACATGGAACCATACACTAAAAAATAAATAAATAAACAAATATAACATAAAATATGCAAAATATATTACAAAAAAATGTACATTCATGCTAGTGAATTTCACAAACAATTACAAAGAAACAGCAAGTAACATTAATTTAACATGACATTTTCATATGAATTTTCTTGTAAAACATACTCCAATGATCTTTGTTTTATTTACCACTTGGATTTTTAATTTATTAATTTATTTTATTTTAACTGTGAGTTAAGGAAAACTAAAATGACTAACCTGTGTTCCAACATTCAGACAAACAAACAAACTTTCACAACTACAAACACTGGTAATAACCAGTTTCAATCATTTGAAATGCTGGATAATGCTGGTTGGTGAAATGAGCTGTGCATTTCTGGGCTGTCAGAAAAACACTTTACTAATACATTATTCATGAGACACTCCTTAGCTCTAGCTCCACCCATAATGCCATGGAAACAAAGAACCACACCAACAGCTGAAGATGAAGCTATATAAAACCACAAAGAATCTATTAGAACATTTACATTGAAGACTCTTCTGCTCACCAAGGCTGCATTTATTTGATCATAATTCCACTAAAAACAGTAATATTGTGAAAAATTATTACAATTTAAAAGAACCGTTTGTTATTTGAATATATTTTAATCTGCAATTTATTCCTTTGATGCAAAGCTGAATTTTCAGCATCATTACCAGTCTTCAGTGTCACACGATTCTTCAGAAATCATTTTAATGTGTTTTTCTTGTATATAAGCATTAGCAAGACACACGAATGACCCACACAGTTTGACATAACATGCTGGCGGAACAATCTCTCCAATTACACACACGCCAACAGCCATTGATTCGGTTTCTCTCTCTGAATCCGTCAGGAAGAGTGGGGGTGATTTTGTGACTCAGCGACCCTTACACACACACACACACACAGTTTTATTTACACCTTCACTGGAGCAGAAGTCTCTGAGAAGACGATCAAATCACTGAACGACGATCTCTTCTTTGTAAACAATCTGACACACACACACACACACACACACACACAAAAAAGAAGCTCCTACAACTGTATCTCATATAAAAAAATCCTTCTCCTTTCACTTCCTCATGCAGGTTACGAGTATGACACAGTTTATGAGCTATATCAGTGTGTAGATGATAAAACCTAATGCTGAACTACCCATGAATCACGCAAGGAAACTTTAGCAGAAGCAATAAACTAACAAAACCGGATGAGTCCAGTTAGCTGACCTAATAACTGACCAGGCTGCAAGGAATTCGAGCAAAAACATTCAAGTAAGTCATTCATAAACGATGCAAATTCATTCATAAAGCTCACCTGTGACGTGTAACTCAATATTGGCTGATCTCTTGACTCATTTAAATGACAAACGGCCTGCGCTCTGTTACATGACAGAGGCAAAACGTTACAATGAGGCCCCATTAGTTAATGCATTGACTAAGATTAAGTAATAATAAGCAATAAATTTGTTGCAGCATGCATTAATCTTTGTTAACATAATAAAATACAACTGCTCACTGTCAGACCATATTAGATCAAGGTACATTAAAAGAATAGATCACCCAAAAATGACAACTTGCTGAAAATGAGCTCACCCCCAGGCCATCCAAGATTTTAGTTTATGAATACAGATAGAGAGAAATGTAGCATTGCGTTAATAATAACGCAATGCTAATAGTGCATAATAGTGCTTACTAAATCATGGGACACAGGTCTGTTCTGGTTGGGCTGCAGGAGGGTAAAATCAATGCTAAATTCAAATAATAAAATGCTACTAATCATGTAATCATGCATAACTAGGATAGCAAAATCACTACTTTTATAAAAGGAAGGAAATGCTCTTCCTGTATCTTAAATATCTGACATGTGTTAAATCAAACTCAGTATGTAAGTGCAAATTAATCTGTCACTAGGCAGAAGACAAATTAGACTGATGCGACATGGAAAGAATGTTTGATAGTTTCTCAATCACAATTTTTTTTTTTTCAATAATAAGTCTAACATTGTTCTACTCTGAATATTATGACAAAGCACAAAAAAGAAACCTACAGGCCATAGATTCATTCAAGTTTATTGAACAATGCATCTAAAATTATTAGAAAACTCCATATTAAAAAAAGTCTAAATGTACAAGATGTTTATCTGGATATCAAAAAAGAAGCTCCTACAACTGTATCTCATATAAAAAAATCCTTCTCCTTTCACTTCCTCATGCAGGTTACGAGTATGACACAGTTTATGAGCTATATCAGTGTGTAGATGATAAAACCTAATGCTGAACTACCCATGAATCACGCAAGGAAACTTTAGCAGAAGCAATAAACTAACAAAACCGGATGAGTCCAGTTAGCTGACCTAATAACTGACCAGGCTGCAAGGAATTCGAGCAAAAACATTCAAGTAAGTCATTCATAAACGATGCAAATTCATTCATAAAGCTCACCTGTGACGTGTAACTCAATATTGGCTGATCTCTTGACTCATTTAAATGACAAACGGCCTGCGCTCTGTTACATGACAGAGGCAAAACGTTACAATGAGGCCCCATTAGTTAATGCATTGACTAAGATTAAGTAATAATAAGCAATAAATTTGTTGCAGCATGCATTAATCTTTGTTAACATAATAAAATACAACTGCTCACTGTCAGACCATATTAGATCAAGGTACATTAAAAGAATAGATCACCCAAAAATGACAACTTGCTGAAAATGAGCTCACCCCCAGGCCATCCAAGATTTTAGTTTATGAATACAGATAGAGAGAAATGTAGCATTGCGTTAATAATAACGCAATGCTAATAGTGCATAATAGTGCTTACTAAATCATGGGACACAGGTCTGTTCTGGTTGGGCTGCAGGAGGGTAAAATCAATGCTAAATTCAAATAATAAAATGCTACTAATCATGTAATCATGCATAACTAGGATAGCAAAATCACTACTTTTATAAAAGGAAGGAAATGCTCTTCCTGTATCTTAAATATCTGACATGTGTTAAATCAAACTCAGTATGTAAGTGCAAATTAATCTGTCACTAGGCAGAAGACAAATTAGACTGATGCGACATGGAAAGAATGTTTGATAGTTTCTCAATCACAATTTTTTTTTTTTCAATAATAAGTCTAACATTGTTCTACTCTGAATATTATGACAAAGCACAAAAAAGAAACCTACAGGCCATAGATTCATTCAAGTTTATTGAACAATGCATCTAAAATTATTAGAAAACTCCATATTAAAAAAAGTCTAAATGTACAAGATGTTTATCTGGATATCTATAAAATGTGTTGCAGAACCTCATTGACAGCAATAACTTATAAAGCATAAAACTGAGCTGAATGCATGACAAGGAAGACAACACCAATAAAACAAAGGCGGTAACAGTAGACATAAATGTATTGAACAAAGCAGTTGACAGGTTTTTGGCACAAATTGCATGCCATACCAATATGAAGAGCATAAGACTAAATATGTGAGCATGTATAAATGTAGGTTGACTGGTTGTGTGTGTGTGTATCTCCTGTAATCCTCTGATGCTTGTGTCACATCTTAAATCCTCAGCAGGATGGATCATATACGATTCAGCTCAAACACACAACAAACTCCACAGAAAGATGAATTATGACAAACTGATGGACAAAAAGCGGTTCTTATCTGATCCCTTTGCTATGATATCCACAGAAACTTATTCTGCTAAAAAATACATCTGAACGATCCACTGATTATCCAAGCCTGTCAGTAAAATATAGGAAATGCTGAATAATTAATAGTCCTGGTCAATATATCAATACATGAGTATGTCACATATTGTGTGACAGGCCACACATACAAAATCAAGGACAACTTTACTAACAAATACACAACTACCAGGTCCCATACAAAACCAAAAATAACAGTTTCATGCTTGAACTGATCTGAAATCGGCAGCAGGTCTGATAGATCAACAATAATATCATCTTAACCAATCAATCTGATCAGAATTAACGTTATGTCAAATCAACGCAATCAGTGATTTTAACACACTTACACAAGTTTCACAAGAGGGTTAGCCTGTCAAACCAGCCGCTCAGAAACAGACTCAGACAGACAAATAAATAAATTAACCGACAAATAAATAAATAAATTAGCAGACAGACAGACAGTTCAGTCACCAGTGTCACTGACCCACACGAACCGCTTGCGCAAACCGCCCTCAGCGCGCACAAATTCCCGCGTCACTGTTTCTACGGATCAACTTACTCATAAAGTCGAGTTAACATACTTTAATAAGTTTATTCTCACCGTTTCCGTTGATTTCAGAGAGTTTTCCGCGCGTGTGTGGGTGTCGCGGCCTCTCGCTGATCCGCCCTGCGCTCTTCACTGACCGCACACATACGTCCCCGCCCTCTGACACTCTCAGCCAATCGCAGACCAGAAACGGTAGACGGACAGCCGTGTCATCCAATCACTGCGCGGACGGAGCGCCTCCGCGTCTGATGACGCCTGTCCAACTGGCGCACTTTTGATAGACACGCGGCGCGTGCAATCAGTGAGTTTGACTCCTTATACGGGCCAATGGCGAGCCAATGAAAATGAATAAAATACAAATCTTACTTTCACTCCACTGAGGGAAGTATGAAGACGATGTATATTTATTTATTTTATTTCATTGTTTTAAATATATGTTCAGTAATTAAGTTGGCTTGAAAAAGCCAACTTATTGATATTCTATTTAAGCTTCTTCTTCTTCTTCTTCTTAGACTACATTTCTGAACGCTACTCCTCCTAGAGAGCTTTCAAGCTAGAACCACCAAACTCAGCCCAGCTCTTCAGACTGTTCTGACTCAGGTTGCTATATCTTTTCAGACTGATCGGACTTACGGTTTTCTTAAAACTGAAGATTAAAAATCATTTAAAAAATCCCATAGACTTACATTGACGGAATATTCAGATGAGCCAACACTATTCAAACTCCAACTGTCAAAATTCAAATCTAAACACACTGAATAAAACTTTCTGGCTCGACTTTTTCAAGTCAACCTAAAGTTTGTCTACAAACTTTTCAGTCTAGTTTATCTGTTACTGACCTTATTGCAAATGCATAAATCCTAAGTGATTTTAAAAGATTTACGTATATAATACAATTTAACATAATATTAAAACTCCAACTGTCAAAATTCAAATCTAAACACACTGAAGCCCATTAGGCTCAATCAAACTTCCCTTCTATGTACTATTTCTAACCAATTTAAACTCATTTAAGCTTCCACTCTATCTAATATTTCTATCTATCTATCTAGCTGGTTGGCTGCTTCCAGGCTGGTTTTAAAGTGGTTTTGGCACCTTTTTAGCTGGTCAAGCTGTGAGACCTGCTAAAAGACCAAACAAGTTTAAAGCTTAAACCAGCTAAGATTAGACAACTAGCCTAGGTTGGTTTTAAGATGGTTTTTAGCTGGGTTTTTGACTGGTTCAGCTGTTATTAGCTGGTTTTAACTGGTTTTTAGCTGGCTTTTTGCTAAATCAGCTGATTTTAGCTGATTTCAACTGGTCTCTAGCTGTTTTTTTTTTTTATTGAATCAGCTGGTTTTACCTTGTTTTTAGCTGGATTTTTTTCATTTACGAAGTTAAATACATTAAAAACATACTAGCAGCATGCTAATCATGCTAGAAACTTGCTAATAACATGTTAACCATGTTAGCAACATGCTAGTCATGCTAAAAACATGCTAATAACGAGCTAATCATGCTAGCAACGTGCTAGTTACATGCTAATCATGTTAATAACATGCCAATTATGCGAACAACATGCTAATCATGCAAGAAACATGCTAATCATGCTAGAAACATGCTACTAACATGTTAATCATGGTAGCAACATGCTAGTAACATAATAGTGCTAGCAACATGCTAGTAACATGCTAATCGTGCTAGCAACATGCTAATCATGCTAGAAACATGCTAATAATGCTAGAAACATGCTAATCGTGCTAAAACATGTTAGCAACATGCTAGTCATGCTAGAAACACCCTAGCAACCACCCCAGGTACCCTAGCGATATGTTTTGTGCCTATCTGTTTTTCTGATAGACTGTATTGCCTTGAAAACATTCATATTAAAATTAAATAAAATAAAAATGTAGTTACATTTAATTTCAAATTAAATCTCAAATATAGATAGATGTTGTTTAAAAAATATAAAATAATAGGTGCATATTGTTACTATTACAGTTTTTCTCAGTCGCTTTGGTGCATTTCTCAAATTAGAAATTAAATTCTCAAAACTACTTGTTCAACCTCCACATCATCTAGTCATTTGTACACATCATAAAAGCAGTTTCTCATTCTTTTGAACAAGCTGCGATTGCTTTGGTACATTCATGCAATTGATTATGTACATTTGTCTGCGGTTTCCTA